TTTGTTCCTACCGGCTTTGCAATGTTGTATTAACAAAGTCTGTGTTGTGTCCCAATTCCGCCCCCCGAAATTTGCATGACTTATGAAAACATCGGCATCTCCCTTTTGCTTCTCTCGTGGTCTCAGCAGTTGGCTTTGCACCCCTCTGCCCTCAGTCCCAGTTACTCTCCATCTAGCTCTTCGAGGCACTTGAAAGGATAGGCATAGTGGCACCTCTTTAATTTCAGCATTTGGGAAGCAGAGGCAAGTGGATCTCTGAGTTCCAGGCCAGCTAGGGCTATATAGTGAAACCCTTTTTTAAAACGTTTTCTTTGATGATTCCAGAAAGCTCTTCTTAAAAAAATGTTTAGGCTTATTTTTAATTATGTGTGTTTGTGTGTGTGTGCATGAGTACAGGTGCCAGCAGATGTCAGAAGTTAGATCCCTCTGGAGCTGGAATTACAGGAAGTTGTAAGCTGCCAGATGTGGGTGCTGGGAAATGCAAAAGTGGCAGGCACTCTACCCTCTCAGAGTCATTTTTCCAGGGCACAGAAAGCTCTTAACATGACCCAGAACTGCAGGATTCACTTTTTGACAACACTATTTCTGTTGAGAATTAACAGTAAGGGACACTATTTTCAGATTTAAGTCATGAAGTAGTTGGCATGGAGGGACAGTGAGTACTAGAACACAGAATTCACATCAAGACAACTTGCCACACTAAAAAGCAGCAGGAGTGCTTCAAAGACTATTCAGAAAATGACTACTTAAAAGCATCCCACTTTTGATAAATGCAGAAATTAAAATTGATTATGTATGATAAATTAATATGTATCAGTAGTCTACAACTGTAACACTTCACATATTTGTAAGCACATTTTTTTGGATAGCAGAGTATCTTTAAAATTCTTCCCAAAGCTGGGTGTGGTGGTGCTACACCTTGGAAAAGTCAAGATCATGAATTCAAGGTCATCCTCAGCTACAGTTTCAGGCCATCTCAAAACCTTTGCCTTTTGTGATAATTTAGTGTGTGTGCAGGAGTGTGTATGTGAAGACTGGTGGTGCATACCAAGTGTCTGCCTCTATTGTTTTCCACCTCATTTTTTGAAAAATCTAGAGTGTGTTGATTAAGCAAGGCTGACTTAGCCCTTGTCTTTGCCCCACAAACCTTGTCCACAGTAGTGAGGTAACAGATGCTGCCAACTGGCTTGTGTGGGTGTTGGGGAATTCAAACTCAGGTTCTTCTTACATGTAGCAACTACCTTACCAACTGTGCCATCTCCCTGTTAATTCTCCTAATTTGGTCTCCCAGTACTGGACTCCACTGTTGGGAGCTATTAATCCATTATGTACATTGAGCTGTGGCAGGCTTGCTTGTTTACTGAGTTTGTGTTTTGCACACCAGTATCTAATCTGCCTAACACACAGTACCTAGAGGAATGTGTTTATGTGGTGGAGCTCACAAGTATTTGACCGCTCCTTGACCCTCAGATACAGGTGGGAAAAACAGCTGTTGAAATTGAGTTAAGCTCTCTGATGTTCTGTATAAAAGGGCGGAGCTAAAATAAACTGGGGCTGCAGTCTCTACTGACAGTCCTCCCAAGTATCTTTTTCTGTCTCTCGTTTTTCCTTTCAATCCTCACTCCCCCTTTCAGGTACTGTCCGTCTTGGCTGGCTGGCACCTGCACTCCACCACCTGGCTTCCCCCTGAAATCTTAAAGGCCCTCTGACTACTGTTTATAGGTGGTTCATAATGGAGAGCACATTATAAATGGTGACATTTTCTGGGATAAAATGCATTAAGAATGGGGAGGCCATGGGACTGGAGAGATGGCTCACTGGTTAAGAGCACTGACTACTCTCACAGAGAACCTGGGTTTAATTCCCAGCACTCACATGGCAGCTCACAGCCATCCTTAACTCCAGTTCCAGGGGTTCTAACACCCCCTTCTGGTCTCTATGGGCACTGCACATCACAGGTTTATTTAGATGCATGCAGAGAAAATGCTCACACAAGGGGCTGGAGAGATGGCTCAGCAGTTAAGAGCACTGGTTGCTCTTGCAGAGGACCTAGGACATGGTGGCTCTAACAATCATCCATCAACTCCAGTTCCTAGGCATCAACACCCTCTTCTGACCTCCTCGGGCACTGGGAAACACAGGTGCACCCACCTACCTACACACAAGGTGATACTTTCACATATACATAAAATACAAATAAATATTTTTTAAAAATTATTTTAAACAACAGGGAGATCAAAGGACAAAAAGAGGAGGTTGACAAGTAGTTTAACACCATCAGGGAATTAAACCCTAAAGCCAGCACTAGGGAAAACTGGTCATTCCAGGCATCTATTTTGAAGTGCAGGAATTGCTGATGGGTGAGATGGCTCAGACGGTAAAAGGCACTTGCCACCAAGACTGAAGACCTGAATTTGATCCTGGAATCCACATGGTGGAGGACTGACTCCTGCAAGCTATCCGATGACCTCCACATACATACTGTGACACATGTACAAACACATGCATAATAAAAATATATTTGGAAAGTGCAGGAATAAGAATAGTCCTGACCTCCAAAGATGTGCAGATACTAAGGAGAGGCAGAAAGCAAGAGCACCCAAGTCCTTGATCGTTCCTCCACACCTGCACAGCTGACAATAGATCTCTTTTCTAACAAGACCTGAGTCTATGGAATGGGAAATACATTTTAATCAACAGCACTAGTGATAAGTGACAAGCATTTAAGTCCAACCCTCTTACCCCACTGGCAGATGGTTTATCACCCTTCAGTCAGAAATAGGATTCACTTTCAATCAGCAGACTTCAAAATCTTGACACATTGTTCCCCAATTAATTTGCCAGGACAGATTTCCTTTTATCAGCTGAAAAACTGTACTCATGGCTATTTCTTAGCTCTTCAAACCCACTAAGATACAAAAGCTACCATTTATTTGAGGAATGCCTTTAACAACAAATATTATTTTAAAAGCACTAACATGGAGATGATCAGACTATCTAGGGTAAGCGATGGCAAAGAATACTTCCTTAAACTACCCTTCTCAAAGATTCCAGAAGCCAGGCCTGTAATCCTAGTTATTCAGAAGGTCCAGTGTTCAAGACCACCCTAGGCATGGCGGCACACACCTTTAATCTAGGCACCTGGGAGGCAGAGGCAGGTGGATCTCTGTGAAATTAAGGCCAGCTAAAGGGAAACCCTGTCTCCAAAACAGTCATAAAATAATGTTATTTTTTAAAAAAATAAGAGTTCAGTGTCAGTATTGGTGAGGTGACAGTGCTGAAACTTTATCTTGGAAATTTGAAATTGTAAAAATGAAAAACAGAGCTGGGTTTAGTGGCTCATGCCTGTGATCCCAGCAACTCAGGAGGCTAAACTGGAAGGATAGCTGAGTTCCATCCAGGCTAGCCAAGATTAATGACACCCAATCTCAAAAAATCGTTAGCATAACCACACACAAAAAGTTAAATATAAGGCTGAAATTTAGAGCTGAGGAAATGTTAAATGCAGTCTTTGATTAGGATGGGTGAAGTATGTATCAGTTGAACAGCCAGGCCCACTTCTAAATGCAATGCAGAAGACACATGCATGCATCGAATTTTATTTGTGGTTAGGGAATTATACTCAAGGCCCACTTGGTACTTCAGCCATATGCACCTCCCATGCCCAAAAAGCTTGTAAAAGGGTGGTTATACAACATGCCGGATTGCTTTCAGCCTTGTTTTTCCGATAATTTCTTCAAAGAAAATTAGCTTCATTGGAGGAAAATAGTAATCTTTAAAGCTAGTTAGCTCTCACTAATAAGTATAAGACACTAGCCTCTAGCAAATACCAGCCTACATCATTATGCTGGGAATGGCAGTGCACACTTGCAGGACTGCCAAGTTTTAGGCCAGCCCATACTACATAGTGGTTTCTACGCCAGCTTGGGCTACAGAATGAACCTGTCTTTAAAAGACTTTAAAAAAAAAAAAAAAAAAAGTCCATCCACCAGCAACTTAAAATTCCTGGCCAAGTTCATCCTCATGATGAAAACCTGTATCTGCAGATACATGTACAATTTATTTTCTGACTGGTTATTCATGTCCAAATGACTGGATTTTTTTAGGTAACACTAGTATCAATAGGGCAGCAATGCACAGCCTTCCTTTTACACTGACAAGAGTTCAATGAACTAGGCCAAAGTGAATGGGCAGAATATATGCTAGGTCATCAACCATGGGTGTCATTTACCATTTGCAACCATCTGCCAGACACAGAAGCTACAATGTTCTCTCTTGCAATCCCAGTGACCTGCCACCTTAACCAACTGTTCATTAACTTCTTAGAGTACAAATTTTCAATATAAGAAGGTTAGACCTGTGCTCACACAGAAGGCCAGAGGCAGGAGGTATGAAGTCAATCTACTTCCTTTAACCACCAGGCTATAACCACTCTATCATATAAATAATATTGTTTGAGCTAAATGTATTTTCTCCTGAGGAAAAAACACTAAGAATGAATTTCTGATCAAGTTTCCAGGCAGTGTTTCAACAACTGAGGTTCCATTTCAGCAGGTCAGGATAGATTAGTAACTATGCTTTTCTAATCTAAATTCATACAAAATAGTATTCATTTAGCCCAAGTTTAAGATGGTTAGGAGACTGGTGTCTAGCCGGGCATGGTGGCGCACGCCTTTAATCCCAGCAGAGGCAGAGGCAGGCAGATCTGTGAGTTCCAGGCCAGCCTGGTCTCCATAGTGAATCCAGGACAGCTGGGGCTACAGGGAGACCCTGTCTCAAAAAGACCAAAAAAAAAAAAAAAAAAAAAAAAAAAAGGAAAGGAGCGGGGTGTAAAAAAAAAAAAAAAAAAAAAAAAAAAAAAAAAAGATGGTTAGGAGACTGGTATCTAAATAAAGGTGGCCCCAGAAAGATTTGCTCACCAAGACTTTCATTGTAGGAACTCCCAGAATCACTTTACTTTGTACTAGACTCTGAAAGAATGTGGGCAATATACACAAAACTGTCATAAAATTTCACATCTATTTCATGATAGAAGCCAAAGTAAAGCATCTGTGTATTCAGAATCACACACAAGTTACCTTTACAGTTCAATTTACTATATATAGAAATCATTTGGGTTTTATATTTTCAGCTAACTTTTGAACTGAGGTTACAGTATCATATAAAAGATTTTACATTAATTATTTAAGCATACCAAATTGAAATACATAGGTTTAAACTTCAGATTTATGGCAAATAGTCTTCAAATACAATACAGATATTTCTTAAAGTTACCTTATCATTCACATGTGATTATTTGCAACCCTGGGCTGTTTTTCACACAACAGCTCTCCTTTGCAGATGGCAAAATTGATACGCCACGAAGCTCAAGCCTATATAATCAAGCCAAAGACTCCATTGTTAGGGTTTTGGATTGTTTGTTTTTGTACCATCTTTATTTCTGGACCCCAACAATGCATAACACAAAGAAGGTAGGAAACAATCCCTCCTTGTAATAGTTAAAAACAGTTACATGGTAGCTCAGAATTTTGCATAAAACCCCATATATACCTTGGAAAAGTCCAAGAACTACATGACAATGGAGTGGGGTCCTAAGTTCTTTTTGTAATTAATAGAACCCATGATATTCAAATGGACAATAATCAAATCAAAAATATTAAGCACCTACTGGTTTGAGATTGAGATTAAGAGATTCATGATCAATTTCTTTGCACCTTAAAATCAAGGTGTAAAAACCAGCTATTAAGTGCATTCCAAACTTCTATGTAGCACAGTAGAATTTTCTGCCCATTGGCACCAAAGTGAAGTCACATTCCCTCTTGGGGGACAGAAATTCCACATCTGAACATAGAGTAAGTTAGGAAAAAAAGACCCCTGTAGTTTGTCTTATTACTATTTTGTTATTGAGATCTAGGATTTCTAATACACTAGCAGTGAACAAAGCAAACCCTGGCAAAATTGACAGGTTAGTGATGCTAACTCCCTTCCCCAACTACCAAAAAGTTTTAGTATGAAAAGAAATTACTAAATTGAACAAATGGGAAAAAACAAAAAACTAAGGGACTAAGTTTAAACCAACAAAAACAAAACCCCAACTGGGTATCACTACAAATGAGAAATTGAAATAAGTGTGCTTTACCCCCAAACCTCATTAAATTTAAGTATTCTGTACAAAGGGGCATTTCTGGATATGGTATAGATGTAGCCCTTCTTTAAATTTTACTGCTCTGCAGTTTTCTGCAATTTCATATCCCCACCATGTATTTAATAGAATCTTCCCTGTTGGCCAAAAGATTTGTGATTCAAAGATGTACTAAAGTAGTCTATGTAGTCTATCTATACAGAAACACCTATTAAATATTACAATTGGCTTAAGCAGGATTAACATTTTTGGTGTTAAAATTGTTAGACATCATGCTTACTGCACATCAACTCTCCATAATGAATCTGAATGTCACAATGATTTACCAAACACTTTACTTAAATTACTAATTAAATAACTGAAGTGTACTGAGTAAAACTTAAATGGGCTATAAAGAAAACTACCCCTCAAAACAGACCATATACACATCTATTTCAAAACTACCTTTGCTAGCTAGCCCCTTTCCCAAAGTTTTAGCCTGAAAAAAACCAGTAAAATCTACACAAAATTTTATTGCAATCATACAAGGGTTACATTAGGTCAAATACAACAAATACTATGATGCAATTTTACATTTATTAAACTACAGTTCAAAGCACAAATTTACACATTCTAAATACACTAAACATATCTAATGAAGTCACACTGGTTTTCTACTAATGTGATCTATCTGGGTGAAAGACATCAACTTTACAAGACTTTTAACAAGAATTCTTATTATAAAAACTGTGTACTTGTATGTAAACGATTTAATGGGGAACCCAACTAATGGGCTTCCATCTCCACTAAGTCATCCATTTTGTTGCATATTTTATTTTAAACGCTTATGGGGTAGGTCAAACTGGTAAGTTTAAATCTGGATACATTATCTAAATCTCCCTTTACCCCCAAATGAATTATAGATGAAAGCTGATTGTCTGGTCCCAAATAGTTATTACTATGAATTTGTTTCCAAGAGAATTAATAAAGATTGAATGAATTTTTTCCCCACACTGGAATGTAGACCAGACAAGCTTAACCTGCAACTTCAGATCTTAAGAAGCGTTAATGCCTGTTTAAGCTTCAGTGGAAAAGCTGTCTTCTTGGCTCAGCTGAATGCAAGAAGGTGCAAAGAAGAAGTTTTTCATCATTGTATCTGAAGTAATCCCAGCATCTTGCATCTCATACCTATATTTAAGAAGAAATAAAACAAAATTCATGATTTAAAGTCTTTACAAAGATCACACAATCACAATGAAATAGGGGAACAACTAGTCTTCTGGTCACTCTTAATGATCATTTCTGGGTCAGGGAGATGACTCAGTGGGTGTTTGCCATGCAAGCCTGGTGACTGGAGTTCAATCTCTAGGACCCAGGTTTAAAAAAAAAAAAGAAAAAAAGGAGGAGTGATGGTATTCTTGGAGATAGCTCAGCAGTGTACTGGGTTCTTTTTCTCTCTCTTTTTTTTGGGGGGGGGGTCTTTGAGACAGAGTCTCCCTGTAGCCCCAGCTGGCCTGGAACTCACTATGTAGACCAGGCTGGCCTTGAACTCAGAGATCCACCTGCCTCTGCCTCCCAAGTGCTGGGTTTAAAGTGTATTGTTCTTTTGTTTATTTATTTTTATTTTTTAATCTTTTTGAAACAGGGTCTCCCAGTAGCCCCGGGTGACCTGGAACTCACTATGTAGACCAGGCCAGCCTTGAATTCACAGAAATCCTCCTGCCTCTGCTGGGATTAAAGGCGTGCACCACCATGCCTGGCAAGCAAAAATACTGTTCTTGTAGGACTGAAGTTCAGTTTAGCACCCACATCAGGAAGATCAACAAACAAACACCTGTAACTCCAGCTCCAGGGGAATCTAACACTCTCTTCTGGCCTCCACGGGAACTGTACTCATACACATATCCATACCCAGGCACATACACATAAATAAATCTTTCATCTTCTTTTTAACAATGTTTTTAAGAATTTGTCTGTAAAAGTCAAAAGGTGTTGGACCCCCCTGGAACTGGAATTAGGACAGTTGTCAGCCTTCATGTGGGTCCTGGGAACTAACTGAACCCAGGTCCTCTGCAAGAACAGCCATCTGAGCCATCTCTCCAGGCCCCCAAATAAAATCTTTTTTAAGAAGGTTTGTGGGGAGGGGGCAGGAGAGCAAGTGTATGCAGGCCAGAGGTTGTTATCACATGTCTTTCTTAATCACTTTCCACCTTTCAGACTGTCTCTCACTGAGCCCAGAATTCACAACATTCTGGTTAGACTGGTTGGCCAACGAGCTCCAGGGATGTTTCTCCCTTACCCCATACCCCAACTCTAGGGCTACCCCAGCTCAGCTCTGCATGTTTGTGTGACAACCACTTCACTGAGCCATTTTCCCCAGTCTCCAAGATTATCTATTTTTAATGCAAAGGCCAAATGCATCAAGGATTCTTCATCAACTTTATCATATGTCATGATTGTGATATTAAAACTTTCACTTGAATGATTCTTTTTATTATTTGAAGTTATGCATCTGTTATGTAAGTAACCAGTTAATCTAAAATGTCACTTCAAATATTCCATCTGCTTTAAAATAAAAACACCTTACCAATCACTGAATGACATCATGTAATAAATAGCTGGCCTCTGAAAATCATTAAAAGCAGATGGTTCATGGAAAGAATCTGCTCCCATGTTATCAAAGATAAGCCAATCTCCCACATTCAGCTCAGGAAGAAGACAGTTTTCCACAATTTGATCAAGCTCATCACAGGATGGACCCCAAAGGCTGCTTGTAAACAGAGGCTCATCTTCCTTGTATTTCTGTAGGAAAAGAAAGGGTGTCAATTTCTGTAGGTAAACAAGAAGCCCACCAACTTTCAATTTTTCATATCTCATGTCTATGGAATGAAAGTTGAGGGTCAGGCATTAACGCCACACCAAGGAAACAAACTGAAGGGGCCAGAAGAATAAAGAATCCTGAAAAAGGACATTTTGCCCATCCTAAAGTATTTCTCAAAAAAAAAACAAAACAAAACAAAAAAAAAAAACTGCACATGTTAAACATAATAGCTAAGGTTTACGGTAAAAACCGGTTCCTATGGATTGAATCCAGGGCCTTGTACAATATGAGAATAGACTTGACCACTGAGCTGCACTCTAAGTGGCTAGACAGGTGCATTTGCATGTTTTTTTTTTTTCTTTTTAAAAAATTTAAAATCACATCTGGCATGGTGGCACATGCCTTTAATCCCAGCACTTGGGAGGCAAAGGCAGGTGGATCTCTTGTGAGTTCAAGGTCAGCCTGGTCTACGCAGTGAGTTCCAGGCCAGCTGGGGGTACAGGGAGACCCTGTCTCAAAAAGACCAAAAAATTTTTTAAAATCACATTTGAGGAAGGGGTTGGTTGGGCATATGTGTGGATACCAAAGTGCAGGTGTGAAGATCAAAGGATAGATGGATAGATAACTTGCATGAATCAGATCTCACTTTCTACCATGTGGGCCCTGAAGATCAATCATCTCTAAGGCTTGTTTTTTTCTTTTTAAATCATGAGTAAGTTTTAAAACAAACACTTGCCTTGTGAACCTCTGGAATGGCATTTAAGTCCTCAGAAAGTTTACTTGCAAAAGAACCATAAACACCATCATTCATGTAATATACGAAGGCTGGTTCATCACTCCCGTTTTTTTCTACTAAAATGAAAGAGAGGAGAGGAAGATGAACTTACATAGTAAAAAGTCTAATATATAGTTAGTGTAAAGGGGATTTTACTAGAACTAGTTAATGTCATTTTTATATTTCTCAAAATTTAAGGGGAAAAAAAAAATCAAGTTCTTAATGCCAATCCCAAAGCCAACATCACTTATATTAGAACAGACTATTATCATGTGCTTTCTAATGTGATACACAGAAGATTCCATCACTCTGGGGGACTTCCTGTCAAAAATGCACAGCGTGAACCTCACCACAAGGAAGCATCAAACAAATCCAAACTGAGACACTTACAAAACTACTCTTCAGAAACATTACGGTAAAGAAATGCAGAGGAGAACTGACACATGTAACATGTGATCCTGGACTAAATTCTAACTAAGAAAAATGGAAAAACTGTAAAGGACAGTTATTAGGGAACCTTAATTTTCCTATGGACTAAGGATTATTCCATAGTGAGAAAAAATTAGTCATTAATACTATAAATATTTCTTACAGTGACACTGGATACAATAAAGCTTGTGCCTTTTGTTTCACTTGACAATGGATTTAAAGAACACTGTTGGCCCTTGTTAGGTAACAGTATGTGGAAGATTCTCCACTTTGTAACAAACTACAAAAAAATACTGGTTTTTAACAAGGGTAAGAATCAGGTGGTGGAAATTAATATAAAACATGTAATAAAACTAGAGTGTAACTATAAACTTCCTAACTTACCTCCAGAGGAAAATTTATCATTTTCAACAGCTTTCTTAGCAATAATATTAACTGCAAGTGTAAAGGCAGAAGATACATAGTAGCTTCCCGGTTCTGAAATTATCTTAATGCCAGAGCCTTCAGGAAAGTAGATATCCAGCAGTGGACTGATAACATGATTGACCTATGGATTTTAAAATTACAGATTATGATTTCAATATTGCATTACAGAATTCAAGATTTAATAGCTATTAGCCAAGTTTCCTAGGAAAATTAAGCAATTGCAATTACAGAACATGAACGCTTAGTTAACTAGGAGGTATCTTCAAGGAAATCAGGCAAGCTTTCACATCAGTGTACTTGGTAATAACCACAATAGCATTAATCAAAAGAAAACCTCTAATATTGTATTTGAGTATTTAGAAACAGGAGCAAAATTTCAATCCATAGCTTTTAGACACTCCAGAATAAAGAAAGGAAGGCTGAGCACAATGGAAAAGCAGAAGTTATGTGCATCTGGCTATTTCAGCTTTTGCTGTCTAAGTTAATAGTTTATGTGTAACATGAAATATATAAAACACAATGGAAGCAATACTTTCTATGGACATGCCATGATAGGGCATTTGGCTAGCATGTGAGTGAGACCCTTCATTTAGTGCCTAGAAAAATCAATAAATGAACAAGAAGTGAATCTTTTGAGATGTGACAGGATCAGAGCATTTCAAACTTTAAAGTTAGCTAGGTCTTCTAATTTCCTGTTCATTACTTTAGAATGAAAATTTTAAGATATTGTATGACTTAGTTTCTGCTGTTGTAAAAATTCTGATCTATGTACCCAAATAAGTAGCAAAGAAAGCAGACACATTATTCAAATATACTCATCCCCTGAAAAGTTTACCTCTTCCAACTGAAATTCAGTTCCTGTGAAGCCTCCACCAATGTCTAACATGTTCATTGTAAAGCCAAATTCTCCCTAGAGATGAAAAAATAGCCATGTGTCCAAATTGTAATGTGTACAATCAACCCCCTTTCCCCAAACCCACCTCGCCTCCTCCTAGTTAAGTAAATATCTGTCTGACCTTTAGTATTAGTTCTTCCTTTTTTATTGTTTAGGCCATGATCAGCTATTTTTGAGACACAGTCATATAATATAGCTTAGGCTGGCCTCCAACTGAGTCTGATCTTAGCCTCCTAAGTACTGAAGTTACTAGCAGGTATCTGCTACCAAACTCAGCTTCTTTAACTTTTATTAACAGAAACATATTAATAGAATTCAGTTCTATTTTGTCTCCCTGATCTTGCTTGCACTATCCTTTAAGACATTTGCTAAATAAATTTCTATTTCAATTCTTTTGCCCACTTTAAAAAAAAACAAAAGTAGCCAGGCGTGGTGGCGCACGCCTTTAATCCCAGCACTTCGGAGGCAGAGGCAGGCGGATCTTTGTGAGTTCGAGGCCAGCCTGGTCTACATGGTGAGTTCCAGGACAGCTGAGGCTACAAGGAGACCCTGTCTCAAAAAAGGCCAAAAAAAACCAAAAAAAAACAAAAAAAAAACAAAAGCATGCCTATGAGGAGTCCTCAATCTTTCTAGTATTAAAAATCGGGTATTGTGCCATACTAGGTATAGAATATTCAAAATAGCTGAAAACAATACTAAGTCCTAATTAATGACATCCTGGTTTAAAATATTACAATTAGAGAGCTCATACTTACAGCCATGTCAAACACACATCGAGCATCAGACAGAGCATGTACATACACTTGAGATTCTTTGCAAGTACTTGAAACATGAAATCTGAAAGAAATAAAAGTAATAAATCAGCATGGCTTTATTTTAATTTTACTTGTTTTGTTTTGGTTTTTTTGAAACAGGTCTCACTATGTAGCCCTGGCTGGCCTGGAATTCCCTATGTAGACCAGGCTAGAGATTTGCTTGCCTCTGCCTCTTGAGTGCTGGATTAAGGGTATGCACCACCACACTCAGCCTAAGTAGTATGTTTTTGAAGCATTTTTGTAAATCCTTTCAATTATCATTCACATGGCACCACATACTTAATATGACTAGCATCTAATTATATAAGTTAAAATACCAGCTTTTTAGAAATACCAATGTTTGATTACAATGCTATAAAAATTTTTAGTATTAGCCACACTTCATGGATATAAAAATATACAGCATTCTTTTATGTACATACGGCAATTTAACAAGTCCCACCAATCAAATGAGATTTTGTAACAGCATAAAATCTTTTATTTGAACACTGAATCAAACTAAATAGTGAGTTCCAGACCAGTCTGTGCTAGAGACCCTGTCTCAAAAAATCAAACTTCTATTTGGGTCTTGGTTTCCTCATATAAAAAAATTTAAAGGTAAACCAAAATCTAACTTTTGTTTTGCTTGAGACAGTGCTTTTGCTTGAAGGTTGGCCTTCAACTCATGAGCCTCCTACCTCTACTTCTAGAGTGCTGGCATTGGAGGGAAATAACACAGCTAGTTTCAAAGTCTGATTTATTGAAGTGCCTCTGAGGGATTAAGAGGAAAAATCAGATGAGAAATAAACTGATGCCTACAACTTAAAAGATTAAAATGCATTAGAACTATACCAAATTCCTTCTATTGAATTTAAAAGGAGGTTTATCCTGGAGACAAGACACAAATCACCAGTAATTTCAGCATTTGGGAAACAGCAGAATCTCAGGTTCAAGGTCAACCAGAGCTACATAGTAAGACTCAGTCTCAACACACTCAAAGAAAGGTTAGAGAGATGCTTGGCAGTTAGACTGCTTACTGCTCTTACAGAAGACCCAGATTCAGTTTCCAGCACCCACATGATGGCCCTCTTCCTGCTTCCTCAGACTCCTGCACACATATGGTACACATAAACTCATACACACACATAAAAACAAATCTTTAAGAAAAAAATCTCTGAAAGAAAATATAGTAGTTTAGTGACGGAGCACTTTAGTAGCATATACAAAGGTCTGAGTTCTATCCTTAACATTGCAAAACCAAAACCCCAAACCAACATTCAGACTTAAAATACTCTGCACTTATTATTTTGCCACTTTATCAGGAGGAAAGAAAGGGTGCCTTTACAAAACAGTATGAAAGGCTTTTCTGTAGTAAAAAACATAGTATTACAAATACTCACTTAACTCCAATTATTTGGACATCAAGTTCCTTGGCACATTCCAAAAGATGCCTACAGTTCTTCAATGTAGTGCCAAACTTCATGTTACCATCTTCACCTCCAATATTATCTTCTGTTGCAATATGTAGTAAGACCCTAAGAGAAGGGGAAGATGATTGGGGCAGAGTTGGTTTACATCATCATCAGCACATGTGAAGCCTGAAGATTGTAGGGAGTGTGTTGATTATGTTGTCAGTGTTCCCAAATCCAGCGATGGATGAATCAAGTGAACCTAATGAAAAACAATCCTGTATAGAGAAAAAACTAGCAATTAGGGCCTAAGGCACGAAGCTTGAAAGGACGGGATTTTGGAAAATGCAGCAAGTTAAGACTGTTGTAGCAGCAAGAGAGTCAGTTGGGCTGTAATGAAAGATGACATTACTTTCAAATGAAGTCCACCAGTCTATAAATCCACCAAGAAAGACTAAATTCAATAGCAATGCCACCAAAAAAAATCAAGTTTTGGCCCTTTTTTGTTTCAAGACAGAATCTCACTGTGTAAGTCCTGGCTGGCTTAGAACTCACAGAGACTGGCCTGCCTCTGGCCCCCAGGGCTGGAACTAAATAAAGGTGTGCACCACAAAATATCAGTTTTTTAAATATCTTCAAAGTTTCTTATTAATCCCCTCCCTCCCCTCCCTCTCTGTCTGTGGTCTTTCTGATACAAGGTTTCCCTGTAGGCCCAGCTGGAGACCAGAGCTTCTGCCTCCTGAGTACTGGGGTTAAATTAAAGGCATACACCACCCTGCCCAGTTTCTACTAATTTTTTAAAACCTCAGGTTTCTAACTGAAAAAAGCTGAGATGCTTCAAATCTAGTGATTTCCTTCTAAACCATGACAACTAAAACAAAATGATTGACTGATTAAACATTATCAGAGATAAGTAATGATAAGGTATTAAAAAGTTACAAATGTGTAAATAGTTTGTAAAACTTTCCAAGGAAGCTTTGATAAATGACTCAAGATCAGAAAGCAAGACTGACAAAGCAAATTTATTTTACTTACTGGTAGACTCAACTACCACTTACTGTATAGCCTGACACAGAAAATACCAAGACAAAGCTTGTGAAGATCAAGGGGCAGTTTTAAAATAAGTGGTTCCCTATAATTTCCCCTGAAAAGTTTGTACCCCAAAGTTTACAGGTTAATCAATGCCTTATGAACAACATTAAAGTCAGTTAAGTATAGACAAAGGATAAATACATTTTTAGGAACACATAGCTCACATTTTTATTTATTTTGCTTTTTAAAATTAACTTATTTCTATGTGTACATTTTACCTGCTAGTATGTAAGCGTATCACATTCATACAATACCCATGGAGGCCAGAAAGGGTATATGGGATCTCGTGGAACTGGAGCTACAGATGGTTGTTAGTTGCCATGTGGTACTGGGAACCAAATATGGGTCCTCTGTAAGAGCAGTAAGTGCTCTTAACCACTGAACTTTCTCTATAGCCTGCTGCTAGAATTCTTAATAAGGTTAAATTCCAATATATACACTGCTCTGCAATTAACCCCTTTTCTCAGGCTTCACAATTCAACTCCTAAAGAGCAACTACAATGACATTCTCAAGTAGTTTTACACTTACTTGGCATTTGGGTGATTCCGTGCAATTTTCTTTAATTCAATTTCATTGTCGCATGTCATGATATTTACTCCAACTTTTGCTGCATACTTTATCTGAGAAACTTGCTTACACGGACTTATATAAATAATGTTTTCTGGAGACACACCCAATTCTTGCACTAGAGCCATTTCATTCTGTGGAAAATATTTAATACTATCATCTAACAGCAAAATTTTATTACTTTTGATTTGATTTACATTTTTTTCCTTTCTAGTGCTGGGGATTGAATCTGGGACCATGTGCATGCTAGACAAATGATCACCAGCTACACTCCCAATCCCTTAGGTTTTAAACTAAAATAATAATATCAGAAAACACATTTTGGTAAAGCTTCCTTGCTCTACTTTGTGCTTAAAAACAAACAATGCCTTTGAAATGGCTCAGCAGGTAAGAGTGCTTGCCACCAAGCCCAACCACCTAAATTCAATCCTCCAATTCCCTGGCCCTACATAGAAGACAGAACCCCTAAGTTGCCCTGACTTCTACACTTACACTATGGCATGAGCATATCCACACACATACACACAAAAATAAAATACAATTGAGCAGCTCAGTTTGTGCTTGCTTAGCATATATAAATCCCTGAGTTTGATCCCTAAAATATAAATTAGGCATGGTAACCTATGCCTCTTCCCATCACTTGAAGAGTAGAAGCATGAGGAGCAATTCAAGGTCATCCTCAGTTATACAAGGTGGTCAAAATCTGTCAGGGCTACAGATCCTGTCTCAAAAGAAAAAAAGAGCTAGAATTATTTCTGTCTAAAGGAGTTAGCTACCTCTGTCCTAGGATGAAGACATTTTCTGTTTTGAGACAAAGTCTCTTGTACTCCTGCTTGGCTCCAATACACTATGTTAGTAACACTAACCTTGAATTCCTGACTCTCCTGCATCCATTTTCAAAGGGCTTTCATGAACAAACAACTACCATTGCCAGCTATAAAGAAGTTCTTAATGAAGAATTCCTCCAAAGGACAATGAAATGTCCCTTTCACTAATACACTTAAAAAATTAAGGCTTACAATGCTGAACTGCATTCATTCATTAATCATTCATTCATTCATTGGTCTTTTTGAGACAGGGTCTCCCTGTAGCCCCAGCTGTCCTGGGACTCACAGAGATCCACCTGCCTCTGCCTCCCAAGTGCTGGGATTAAAGGTGTGCGCCACCATGCCCAGCTGTTCTATTTTTTAAGGGTAGCTAGAAGTTAATGAATTTTAAAATGTTGCCACTAGATAAAAAATAATGGCAAATACTTACTTTGCTGGAACAAGCAAATCCAGTTCCAAGAGCTGCCAGAATCTCAAGCACAGCTGGAGTAGAATTGCACTTCACCATGTAAAAAGGCTTTATCTGAGCCACTACATTCCGCCACTGACTGTGCTTCCTCACGATTTTCCCAAGATCCCCCACAAAAAATGCATTTTTTCCTGTCTATTATGATAATGAAAAAAAGACAAACATCAAAAAACACTGAAAGCAGGATATCATAGGTAGGACAGAGTATATATACTACATTTAAAGCATACAGTTATTAAACTAGATCTAAAAAGATTAAAGGAAAATCTAAGCAAATCTGCTCTTTCTAAACTTGACTTTTTGCTGTGTTACACTCACATATTCCTTTGAATTTTTGCTTATTTGTTTTGGTTTGTTTTAACTAAGATGATCTCACTATGTAGGCCAAGTTGTCCTTGAACTTGCTACCCTCCTGCTGCTTCAGCTTAAGTCTGGGGCTAAGAAACACACCATCATGGCCAGCAATAAAGTATCTAATTTAGGATGCCATGAAAATGAACACATATTACTTGAGAATGAACATAACTAAAATATACTGCCCTGTTGAAAAAGCATTAATGAAAATTATAGGCTGCATGGGGAAAACTAAGAAACTACCTATGCTCTTAATGCATGCCATCCACAGTGCTCTAGAGACATTATATTTACACTACTAAAGGGGGAGGGGAGTACTGTGTTTAGATATTAGAAGCAAGGAAACTGATTCTTAGGCACAATGTAAATCTGGAAAAATCTCAGAAGACAATATACTGGAGAACAAGGAAGCTTTGTATTTAATTTCTACTCAACAAAATTAAGCTGATGTAGGAAAGAAACAGCAGAAAACAGAAAAGGGATGCAAACCAGAAGGCCACTAAATGACATATGCAAAGGCAGACCAGAAATAAGAATTAAGGAGGAAAGACAAAGGCTGAGGAACAAAAGGTAGACTCAGAAAAACAAATACCAACCTGAGTCATAAAAGATGAGCCTAGAAGACAGAATAGAGGATGAATCTTCATTAAGTGTGAGATGACTTTAAAATATGAGATAGAATGGATAAAAGAAGTACTCTTAAGATTCTATCCAACTTGGAAAGATAGTCAGAAGAGAAAGTTAAACGAGTTAGAGAAAGTCCATGAAGATCTGATCAGGAGTCTCCTAATGATATAATTAAATGAAGAATGGCTTTGCTTTCTAAGGGCTCTGGTATTATCAAGCAACCCCCCCTCTTTTTTTTTAAGAAACTTGACAACAGGGGCTGGAGAGATGGCTCAGTGGTTAAGAACACTGGCAGTTCTTGCAGAAGACCTGGGTTCAAATCCCAGCACCCACACGGCAGCTAACAAATCTAGTTCCAGGGGATCCAACAGCCTCTTCTGTCTTCCTTGGGCACTGCAGGACATGGGTACACTTACCTCCACACAGGCAATACATGCACACATATAGAAAAAGAAATAAAATACTTTAAAAAAGAAAGAAAGAAAGAAACTTGCCGGGCTTGATGGCGCACACCTTTAATCCCAGCTCTTGGGAGGCAGAGGCAGGTGGATCTTTGTGAGTTTGAGGCCAGCCTGGTGAGTTCCAGGACAGCTGGGGCTACAGGGAGACCCTGTCTCAAAAAGACAAAAAAAAAAAAAAAAAAAAAAACCCAACTTGACAACAGAATAAAGAAATAAATGGATTTTGCTGGGGGGACTGGAGACTTGGGCAAGTTTGTAAACTGAAGGTCAAGAAGACATTTTGGGGGCATTTTAATACTGAAAACGAGAGTAACCCAGAGTTAAAGTCTTCAATGAACATGCAAAATACAGGAAACTGGCTCTCACAAAGAAACAAAAAAGTATCACACCATTCACAGAAACAAATAAATGATATAGAGCAGCAATGAATTTGGTTCTGTGGAAGTTGATTCCTGGGAAGAGTAAGAGTATTAACCAGTACAGACTATTAAATTCTATCACATACACAGGCAAGAACATACAAAAATAAATTAAAAGCAAATGAAGAAAAGTTGAGAAAAATGAGTATGATGGCATGTACTCAAGATTTTCTGGAAATGTCAAAATACAAGAGCCAGGCATAGCAGAGAAATCTAACTGCGAAGCACTGCATTTTTCAATGAAGTGGTCTAAAAAGAAGCACACACTATTTAAAAAGAACTGGGATTGAAGTGGCAATGTTAAATAAGAAACTATAGGTTAACTGAACCAAGTACTTTCATCAGATTTAGCACCCTAAGAAATGTAACACTCATGTTTCAATTCTGCAAAATTATTAACACTGTACTTAACAATATGTGGGATGGCACACTTACCAGGGTATGTTCATAAACATAGTTATCAATAACATTTCCAAGGTTTGTTCCTTCATCCAACAGGCCAACGGAGTAGTTTGCATCGTCAATAAATCCTTTCATCTCAGCCGTATTCCACAAAGCCGAAAGTCATAAACCAGGAAAAACAAGAGACGGGCCACCAAGCCTATATCTGGGTCCTTAGAATATGCAACAAACTGTCAAAATATAAGTTAGATCAAAGTCTGCATTAAAATAGTTAAACATGATGCACAAGTTGCCAAATGCCTCATTTTGTGAGGAAATTTTGGGATCATTTTACATTTTCAGAAACAAGTAAATTAATGAGGGGGATTGGTGAGATGGTTCAGGTGGTAAAGTGCTTGCTATCAAAGCATGAGGACCTGAGTTTGTATCTCCAGTACCCATGTAAAAAGTCAGGTGTAGTGTGCCTGTAATCCCAGAGCTGGGAGGGCAGAAATAGGAAGATCCTTGCTTAGGATTTGCTGGACAGTCAGCAAGCTCTAGATTCATAAGGGACCCTATCTCAAAAGAGTAAAATAGACAGTGATTAATACTTAATATTGGCCTCTGGCCTCCACACCCACAAGGCAAAGAAAAGGTAAACAAATGAAAGCCAGGTGTACATGCTTGTAATCCTAGCACTTCGGAGGTAGAGACAAGAGGTAAGAGTTCAAGGACAAATCTTCAAATCAGTAAAAGTAGATTTTAAACACAAAACATAGGCTCAATAGAAGTTATTGAAAAAGCAATCCCATATATATGGTATATGACAGCACTGAAGTTACCTGCAGATATATGTATTCTAAATGAAATTCTGAACACCAGGCATGGTGTCTCCCACCTGTAATCCCAGCACTTGAGAGGCCAAAGCTCTTAAGAGAGTGCCATAGTTCATTCAAGGAAAGCCTGCATTACAGGGTGCAACCAGCCTACACTGTACCAAGTGAGACACAGTCTCAATCTTTTAGAGAGAGACAATCTCCAGCTTTGATATAAACTGTCTAGCTCTTACTTCAAGTTAAATGGATACTCTGATCAAAGTGGCAATGTAGCTCCTTTATGATTATGTGACTTTGTGAAAAGATTCAAACAGGCATCAAAAGACCAGATTCTTGGCAATATAACATAATAATGTATAAACATTCAACAATTTCTGTAAACTGTCACTATTTCAGTAACTTGCTCAGACCTTAGCTATAACTGTATATTGTGAGAATCACCTGTAGTCCCAATAATCAGGAGTTCGAGAACAGCAACGGAAACATTAGCAAGAGTAAGTGAGGGCCACAGAAAGCATCATATAGCCATGAATTTTTACAACTGTTTAAAGGAGGCTGGAGAGGTGGCTTAACAGCTAAAAGCACTTACTGCTCTTCCAGAAGACCCAGATTTAGTTCCCAACACCCAGACAGTGGTTAACACTCATTAACTAAAATTCCAGAGGATCTGACACCCTCTTCTGGCCTCCATGGGTACCAGGCACAAACATGTGCACTTACATACATGCAGGCACAATAGTCATAAACACAAAAATAAAAACTTTATAAAACCAAAAAAACCCAAAACCCCACGCATTTTTAGTGTTGCCTCAGAAGTGCTAAAACTAGGGAACTGGGGATGTAGCTAGGTTGGTAGAGTACTTGCCTATTATGTACAAAGTCCTAGGTTGGATTCCCAGCACCACATAAATGGGTTATGGTAGAGCATGCCTATAATCCCGGCACTCAGAAGGTAGAGGCAGTAGATCAGTTCAAGGTAACACTCAGCTACATAGGGAGCACATTTTAAGCCAGTCTGGGTGACCCTTATTCTCAGGAAACAAGATGGGATGTACAGGACAGACATATAGAATTCTCTAAAACTAAGTTCTCAAATGCCAGAAATAGAAGAGGAAAAAAGAGTCAATAATCACATGGTGGTGCATTATCTATATTCTCGGCACTTGAGAACCTAAATCAGGAGGATTCTTGCAAGTTTAAGGCCAAATTAGGCTACATAATAGGTTTAAGGCTAGCCAAGGATACACAGCAAAATGCTGTTTTGGGCTCATAAAAAAACCCAATACTGCCGGGCATGGTGGCACATGCCTTTGATCCCAGCACTTTGGGAGGCAGAGGCAGGTGGATCTCTGTGAGTTCGAGCCTGGTCTCCACAGAGAATCCAGGCCAGCTGCAGCTACAGGGAGACGCTGCCTCAAAGATGGAAAAACAAAACAAAAAATTTAGACGGGTGTGGTGGTGCACACCTTTAATCCTAGCACTCAGGAGGCAGAGGCAGGCAGATCTCTGTGAGTTCAAGGCCAGCCTGGTCTACCAAGTACCTGCACGTGAACTAGTGAATTTAAAAAAAAAAAAAAAATTTGAGGAACATGGTCTAGCTACATTATGTAGCCTATGCTGGCCCTAACTTTTAAGACGTTTTTAGGTTAACTTATCCTTTTCCTCCTCAATCAGTCAAGTAAACCTTCTCTTCCTCCCAGTCACCAATTCTCTGAGGCAGCACATCCTGACATAACGGCTAATCACGACAGCAGGAACAAGATAAAACAAGTTCTCCACACAGGATACTAATCACTGCTGATACTGGTTTCTGGTTGCATACTAGTAATTGAAATAAGACTAGCTTTCTGGGCAACCTACTTGATTTAAAACCTACCTAGCCCAGTCACCGAGCTGCTGTCATAGACTCAGTTGTTTTCCCCTCAAACTGCCTATCTTTCCTATGTTCCACTCCACCAGTCCACCTTCTACACATGCTTTCCACAGGCCCTTTCCATTGAGGAAAAGGAATTGTATCATGTGTCTGTTATCCAGAACCTCCATTCTTTCAACACTTTTGCTTATAGAAGCAATGACCTGCTTCCTGGTGGCACTGAGGATTTATCAATGTTAAGAATTCAATAGAGACAGCAAGACCCTTACCCGCACTGTCCAAGACATCAATGATGATTACAATAAAAAGAAATTTGCCTGGGACTGGAGAGATAGCTTAGTGGTTAAGAGTATTGGCTACTCTTTCAGAGTACCCAGGTTTAATTCCAAGCACACATACGGGGGCCTAACAACCATCTTTAACTCCAGTTCCAGGGGATATGACACCCTCTTCTGACCCCTGCGGGCATTGTACAACATGGAGGCACTCACATACATGCAGGCAATACACTCATACACATAAAATATAATTAAAAAAAAAAGTTTGCCTGTGGTAGTTCTGTAATGTAGTATCAAGAATATAGAAAATTCGGCTACAGGATGACCTGTGAAAGCACACATCCCTATCCAGGGTTTTGGTGGAATTACAGATTCAGACCAAGGAAGGATTTAAGGCTAGACTGAGCTACACACAAAGGCTCTGTTCCAAACTAAACAAAAAATAATTAACCCCAACCTTTGCTCACTTCGAGTCGCAATATATATTTTTTACTATTATGTATTTACTTAGGTCCCTTGGGTTGGCTGTAGACCACCACAGGTAAATGGTGTCAATTGCAAAAGCTGTTTTCTTTTTCCTTTTGACCTTTTTTTGAGACAAGGTCTTCCCTGTAGCGCCAGGAGGCCTGGAATTCACTATGCAGACAAGGCTGGCCTCAATCTCACAGATTCACCTGCTCTGCTTCCCAAGTGATGGGATTAAAGGCGTAGTCCATTAACCCTGGCTCAGCTCTGGCTTTTAAAGATGGGACAATATAGCCTCAATTTACTATAGCTCAAGAAAGGTAAATTTTCCTTAATATTCATATCTTCTGCAAAATAAGATCCACTGGATGATTCTTACCTGATAAATGCCCACATTCTTCACGAACTTTTTATAAAGTAGTATCAGTTATGTCTACTCAAATATTTTCTAAATATATAATCTAGGTTTAATTCTCAGTGCCTATAAAAATAGCTTAAACTGAATAGCAAACATGTTTATAGTACTGTAAAAGGCACTGCTCTAAAACATGTGTGACAAAACTATTATGTTTGAAGCAAAATGAAAAACCTGTTTCACCAGCACCTCATTCTTTGTTAAAAGCAGGATTCAGGTTTTTGGAAACCTATATCACTCTCAATCTTTGTAAATCTCTGTCCCTTTGCTGGGAGATGGAAACCTCAAATGAGGAACTGTCCCCCATCAGAGTGGCCTGTGGACATGTCTGTGGGGCATTCTCTTAATTGTTAACTGATGCAGGAGAGTCCATCCTCCTGTGGGTGGTACCATCCCTGAGCAGGTGGGCCTGAGCAGGAGTTAAGAAAGGTAGGTGAGTAAGCCAGGAGAAGCAAACAAGCCAGTAAGCAGCATTCCTCCATGGTCTCTACTTCAGTTCCTGCCTCCAGGTTCCTGCCTCAAGAGTCAGTCCTTCAGTGATTAACTGTTAACCTTTAAGTATAAGATGAAATAAATCCTTTTTCTTCCCCAAGCTGCTTTTTTGTTCAGTGCTTTACCACAGAAACAAAAAGTAACTAGGAACAGAGCTGCTCTCCTTTTCTTCAAATTCCCTTGCTTTACCACAGAAACAAAAAGTAACTAGGAACAGAGCTGCTCTCCTTTTCTTCAAATTCCCTTGGTTAAGTTTATTCTTACTGGTATAAAATCATTCTATTGTACTCACAGCTTTTACTTATCTTCATATTACTGTGTTTTCCTTATCCCATTGGTGCTAGGGATTGAACACAGTACATCAGATAGACATGCTGAGCACACTAACCCTTGTTATTCTTTTTGAAACTTGTCTGGTTCTGAGAGATGAATACCTCACGTTTTCTATTTTGCATGCAACAATGTGTACCCAAATACATATAACTGTTACCATTATCATAAAGACACATTCTCTCAAGTCCCTTAGCAATCAATCTCCAAACCCATTCCAATCAGCCAAACACTTTGTAATTTTAAATATTAACTGAAGACCAAACCAAAACAATGGACAAATAATGGCTCTGTTGATAGGAATAAAAATACACTAATATTAATAAAGCATACCCTGGTTCTAAAGAAAAGATGCTTGGTGACTGCATACTCATCTGGGAGATGGAACTGCCAATTCAGAAGTAACTGTGGGTTGCTGACCAGAACCCTGACTGACAAAAGACTGTTAGAAAGTGAAATAAAATTCTGTATTAGGAGAAAAAATATTGCCACATCTGAAACCACGAAAACAAATGTTCGTATGTTATTTGATTTCTTATACTGAAAGCCACAACAAAATAGCTAAAACTAACACTAAAATATTAAAAAGGCTCTGATGTGTTGATTCTCGTTTCTAAGAGTCCTACAAATTCCAAGCCAGATTAGGATCTCCAGGACAAAGGACTTCACAACTCTAATATTAAGAGCTTGGATTTTGCCTGGCATTGTAGTGTATGCCTTTAACTCCAGCACTTGGGAGGCAGAGGCAGGCAGATCTCTGTGAGTTCAAGGTCAGCCTGGTCTACACAGTACATTCCAGCCATTTGAGGGTTTAAGAAGATCCTGTCTCAAAAAGAACCCCCCCTCCCCCCAAAAAAAAAAAAAAAAAAAAAAAAAAGAGTTCAGATTTTTTGGTTTTGCTTTTGGAGATCAAACACAGGACCTTATATAGCCCTAGCCATACTGGGACACTCCTGTACTTAAAAGGTGTAAGAAAAGTGTAAGAAACTCCCTGTAGGTATTCTGAAACACAAAGCTCATTTTCCAAGAGCTAGGGACATAGCTCAGTTTTATAGAGTACCTGCATGCACAAGGGCCTTGGATTTGGTGAAATGCCTGTGATCCCAGTATTGCAGTGGTAGTAGTAGAGGTAGAAGGATTATAAGCTTTAAGATCTTCCTCAGCTAGAGAGGCCAGCTTAGGCTACCTGAAACCAGTCTCAACAATAAAACTCAAATAGAGAAAGCCTATCTTCCACAATCTTAAGGAGCCTATACGCTTAATACACAAGTGACTGACATATAAATGCAAAGCTAAAAAAACTAATTCTGTAAAGAATCTACCATTTACAAATACCTTCAGAAGATGGGTCTCACTACGTAGCTCTGGCTTGCCTAAAACTCTGCTTCCAGAGTGTTGAGATTAAACGTGTGCACCGCCAAGCCTGGCAGAAGGCAAATTTTCTAAGACATTTTGCATTAACAAACTCAAATGTCATTTGGAGAGTTGGAGACATAGCTCAGTTGGTACAGAGTGCTTGCCTAGCATGCATTAGAGGCTTTAGATTCAATCCCTGGCCCAACTCAAACAAATTCCAGCACTAGGGAGATAGGGGTAGGAGTTAAGGTCATCCTTGCAACAGGGAGTTAGAAGGTAGCTTGGACTATGTAAGACTGTCTCAAAAAAGTCATTTGCTAGCCCAATATTTTCAACAATTGAAAAGGGTAAATATGAGTCCAGGTAGGCTAACCCCACACCTTTCCCATCTCTGTTATACCTTATGTCACTGAAAAACCTTAAAAAAGCAGTACAAAGACTCCAGGAATTTTTGCTTGCAACTTTTAAGTTGATTTTATTAAACATTTATTGATTTACTGTCTCTGTGTGTATACTCTGTGACATGCACGAAAGTGGATGTTAGAGGACAGTGTTTGGTAGTCAGTTCTCTCCTCCCACCACGAAAGCTTACCAGGCTTGGCAGCAAGTAACTTTACTAAATCATTTTCTTCATCTTAACAAAAACAGTTTATAGCTCCACTGTCACAAAAGCAATTTTTGCCTCAAAGTATCAAGTAAAGAATATTTTTGCTTTTAAGGGATATTAACTTATTAACATTTTAACCTAACAATGTTAAAGCCAGGTGTGGTGGCACATGCCTGTAATCCCTGTATGAGAAGCAGATAGGAAGGATACTTGCCAAGGTCAAAGCCAGCCTGGTCTACATAGTGAGTTCCAAGCCAGTCAAGGGTACATAGCAAGACCCTATCTCAGAAAACAAAAACAAAGCAAAATAATAAACAGTACGTTAAAAAGCCTCATAACCAGCATGTTACAGGAAGGCTGCAAGAAAATAAAGCATTTATGTGTTAGGAGGGAACAGTTATACTACAAGCCAGAATTTCCACCTCAACTTTTAATACTAGAGAAAACTCTTTTCTGAACCTTTTAATCTCTTTACTAAGAAAACCAAATTGCTGGGTCTAGTGATGCAGGCCTACAAATCCCAACACTAGGGAGAGGCTGAGGCCTACAAGTTTTAAAGCCAGCTGGGGGTACAGTGAGACTCAAAAGCCAAAAACAATTACTAAAAGTATTTTCTACTCACTAGCACTTTGAAAGCCACTTTAAACATCCTATTAACACAGTTGAATGAAAACGCTCATTTGTTTCACACTATCTCAAGTTGTTGAAATCTTAATTCTACTTTTGTAAATTTCCTCTTGGAATTGTATCTGAAAAAAAAAATGTGTAACATTCCTTATATACACCCTTATGTTGGTGTTTTTGATAATACATTTTAAAAAACAAAAAACACCAAAAAACAAAAGCTCTGAAGATGCACACATTGCTCCCTGAAGCCTCTCATGAGGTGGCTGAGTCCTCATATCTGGGAGCATAACTCCAAGAGCAGAGGCTGCAGCAGCTGGGCACTTGCCTTGTTACACACCTGCTACAGAGGCTTCTACAGTTGATTGTACTTCAGAAGAAACTGATACATCTTTCATATAATCACAAGATAATTCTGGCAGCAACAGCCCACTTGACACCAAGCTGGATGAATATGAGTCTTGGGTTTCTGAAGTGAAGACCTCCCTGGAAGTAGAACAGGGAGAGCTGAAAGGTTGAGAGTATCACTTCACAGGAAATTTACCTTAATAGTCAACAACCACTTTACTCGGGACTTTTTTTTTTTTTTTTTTTTTTGGACTTTTTTTTATTAAAAATGAAAGCACCAGGGCTGGAGAGATGGCTCAGTGGTTAAGAGCACTGACTGCTCTTGCAGAGGACCCAGGTTTGATTCCCAGCACCCACATGGTGGCTATGAACCATCCTTAACTCCAGTTCCAGGGGCATCTGAAGCCCTCTTCTGACCTCTGCAGCACTGCACGACACAGGTGCACTCATATACATGCAGGCAATACACTCATACACATAAAATAAAAATTAAAATAAAAAAATGAGAACACCATATTTTGAAATTTATACTACAACCGTAGAGATGACTAACTAAAGGCATTTATCTATTTACTTCAGGTAAGCACAGGATGACGTGGCATTCAGCTTTTAAAAATAATACAATGGTGTGTATCTGTACTCTACCTACAACAGAAAAAATGTTACTTACCACAGAATAACTTTGGAAGCACTGATCAGAAACCACTAGAAGAGGGTTCTAAAGGATGACTGGCACTATAAGCTCTACCTAAAGGGGGTCTGAACCACTAAAAGAAAAAACCAAAAACCAGCCCTAGAAAGCTACATACTAAAGCTGGTAGCTAAGATGTTCTAGTGGGCGGTAAAAAGAGCCTTTGCCACAACAGGTCAAAAACAGGTGACAAGACAAAAATGCCTACAAAGAGTCCTCATGATATCCAAACAGGTTTGCCTCAATGACAGCAACTGGAATCACAATAAACACAATAAATTTATTTTTCAAGGGATAAATTAAGGGGGGCAGGGGAAAATGACTTCAGTACACCTAGAGAAAGAATACTGAAGTCATATTTAAAAAGGACAAGAATGAATAGGAGCCAGGTATGTTGGCATATGGCTTTAATATCTGCACTATGGAGGCAGAGACAGGTGGATCTGAATTCCATACCAGATCAGCTGCGGCTTCACAGTTAAGACCCTGTCTCAATAAATAAAAACAAAAAAATTTAAACAAAAACCACTAATAGTTAATGGGGGGAGGTGTTAATGGAAATGAGCTCGATTTACTTCAAAATAAATATAAGATGCCCATGGAGGCCAGAAGAGGGTGCTGAATCACCTGTAGCTGGAGTCCTCTTGTAAAGGCAGTATACCCATTCTTAACCACGGAGCTATCCCTCCAGTCCCAAATATTAAAAAATTATCTTAATGTACAATTTTCAGTGATGTGATTTATACATATACAACTGCCATGCTTAGATGTGTTCTTCTTTACACTCAGATAAAGAAGTTACTATCCTGCTAACTGGTAATGTAGCCAAATGCTCAATCTAGGGCACACACCTAGGAATGAAACTGTTACAAGACTTTGAGTGGCAGATAGTTTTCAAGTCTTTCATTTTTTCATTATGTATTTGTTTTTCATTATTGACATGCTCTACAGTTTATAGGAGTTTATGTTTCATTTGGAAAACTAGTTTCCATGTTGAACACAGTAGAATATACCATCCTACTTCTCATCATACTAAAGAGAATATGTAAAGTATGTTGAACCTAGATGATAAACTAAGAAAATATTGTTTTTTATCATTTATTATTATTGTACGTGAGCATGTAAAGGTCAGAAGAGAACTAGAATTGGTTCTTCCCTCCACTTTCATGTGGGTTCTAGCAGAAAAGCACAGGTCATCAGGGCTGTATCCTCACACGACAAGTGCCTTTACCCATGGAGAACTGCGCCAAACCAATACTATACTTATTAAAACAACAAAAAAAAAACCTAACTGGGTGACATCTTTGCAGTAAGATATCTGCAAATTAAATTAAAAGTCAACATACAGCTAATACTAGTTCAGTCTACATGAGCACAGTCAATAAGGAACTGTATTCTAAGTAAAGAATCCAACTATATACAACCTAAAATATCCTTTCAACAGAAGCAGGTGAAATAATTTTTATTGGTATTTTTTTTTTTTTGTCTTTTTGAGACAGGGCCTCCTTGTAGCCCCAGCTGTACCGGAACTCACTGTGTAGACCAGGCTGGCCTTGAACTCACAAAGATCCGCCTGCCTCTGCCTCCCAAGTGCTGGGATTAAAGGCATGTGCCACCATGCCCAGCATGAATAGATTTTTTTAAGGAGACAAAAAGAACTGTGATTTTTTAATTTAGTTTTTGTTGTTTTTTTCAGAAAGGATCTCCCTGGCCTGGATCTTACAGAGATTGGCCTGCCTCTGCTCTGAAAGTTCTGGGATTAAATGTGTACGCCACCAAGCCCAGCAATTTTTTTTTTTTTTTTTTTTGAAGGCAGTTTCACTATGTAGTGGTTTCAAACTCAAGAAGTCTGCCTTGGCCTCCTGAGTGCAAGGATTAAAGTAGTGTTGCCACCATGCTGGCTATATTCTTTGACAATTTTTTACATGTAAACAAGGTATCTTTATCATATCCATTCAACTCCCCTCTCTCACTCCCCCCAAGACACCCCCCACATGCCTTCCCCCCTTTCTTCATGTTCTCTCCTTTTTTTGGTAACCCACCAAGTCCAATTAGTGTTGCCTGTCAGTATGCTGACCAATCTTGTGCAGGTAACCACAGCTGCAGTGAGTCCGTAAGTACAATAGCCATGGCATGAGCCAGTAACTATTTAAGATGTTTGCTATGGTCAATGCTACTCCAGTTCTATATAGCAGTACTTTCTCTGATGAGTTGAAATATTCCTTACTGGTATAGCTCCCAGATGTTGGAAACATTATAAACCAAGGAACTGCAAAGTTCTTTCACAAATATCTTAGTATTATTTTTATTCTATGTGTATGAGGTTATTGCCTACATGTGTGCAGCCATATTGTACAATTCCCAGGGAAGTCAGAAGAGCCATCAGATCTTCTAGAAATGGAGTTAAGGACAGTTATTAGCTGCCATAAGGGTGCTGGTTATCAAACCCAGGTTCCTAAGAGCAGTTAGTGCTCTTAACCACTGAGCCAGCCCTAGAACTAGAGAATGTCTTAAAGGTCAATTGCCCCCAACAAAGCTGAGGATCTAACCTAGGGCTTCATACATGGTGAGTGCTCTACTAATGAGCAATACTCACAGCCCCTAAATTTTATTTAGTCCCAATATACTAAATTTAAACATCCACTTGTGTTTGTGTATACCACCATATCTAAATTGCTTCTTGTTCATTTGCTGTAGCTTGTTTTTTTTTGTTTGTTTGTTTGTTTGTTTGTTTTTGTCGTTTTGAGACAGGGTCTCCCTGTAGCCCCAGCTAGCTGTGGGCTCACTATGTAGGCCGGACTTGAACTCACTGAGATACACCTGCCTCTTACGTTGGGATAGAAGGTGTGCACTGCCACACCTGGCATCAGGTTGTGAGTTATCTTGGTTATTTTGACCAAGTCATTGGGGCTGGCCTGGAACTCATTATGTAGACCAGACTGGCCTCGAACTCACAGAGATCTGCCTGCCTCTGCCTCCCCAGTGCTGGGACTAAAGGCATGCACCGCCATGCTTTTATGAAAAATAATATACTTTAGAACAGCTTTGCTTATGGGCTGGAGAGATGACTCAGAGGTTAAGACCGCTTGCTACTTTTGCAGAGGACCCAGCTTCAGTTCCCAGTACCCACATGGCAGCTCACAACCCTCTCTATATAACTATAGTTTCAGAGATTTCAACACTTTCTGACCTCTATAGGCGGTGCACGTATATACATGTAGGCAAGTTACACACACACACATACACACACACATTCATATACATCATCACTGTTAATCAAGGAACAACTAACTATCCTTGGTAATAAATTCCAGAAACCTCTTTATCCCCCTTTTCAAAAACTGGAGCTTGGTTAGGTATGGTGATGCACGACCTGTAATCTCAGCACTTCTGGCTTGAGGAAGAGGATCAGGAGTTTAAAGCTGACCTCAGCTATAACTGACCCTGTTAAAGAGAAAAAAGGGTGGGGTAAGGAAGACAAGATAGCTCATGCTTGTAGGGGGTTATCCTGATTAGGCCTTTAAGTCCTAGTAGTAGTGACTGAAGTAGAAAGATCCCAACTGATACCAGCCTGGGCTACACAGTAAATTTCAAGCCAGTCTGAATGAATGAATACAAGAGGTTCTCAGAACTTCTAGTTTTTAGACATTTACTGGCATGAACTAGCTCAAAATAGATGGCTAATTCAAAACCTTATCCTGAAGGCCAGTGTGGTAGCACATGCCTATAAACCCCAGTACTTAGAAAGCAAAAGCAGAACTGCAGTGATTTCAAGGCTAGCCTGGGCTCCACAGTGAGAACTAGGCCAGCCTTAACTACAATAGTCAGACCCTGCTTAAAAAAATGAAAAAAAGTTGATGTGCTGACACACAGAGAGGCAGGCAGATCTGAGTTCAAGGCCAACCAGGACCTCATAGGAACCCATCTCAAAAAAAGGGGTTAGTAGTGGGGGAATGTAGGAGAGGTGTAGAAAAGAAAACCCAACCTAATGTCAGATCCTAGAGCACAGAAACCCAAACGGAGTACTGGAATATTCAACAGTTCAAATAGAGTTCACACACTGACATATCTTACAATGCACAAGTATTTCCATGAAGGGTTAATGGCTTTTTTGTGTGTGTGTGTGTGTGAAACAGGGTCTCCCTGTAGCCCCAGCTGGCCTGGAACTCACTATGCAGACCAGGCTGGCCTTGAACTCAGAGATCTGCCTGCCTCTGCCTCCCAAGTGCTGGAACTACAGGTGTGCACCACCACACCTGGCTTGAAGGTCAATGTTTTATATTGTTGCTCCCCAGAAAGTAATCTCAGGATTTCAGTGTCCAAGAGAGCACAAACTATCAAACACAAAGATACTGTATTTCTGAGTAGTATGTTTAACTCTAATGAAACCTTTGAGACAATGTATCTTTCTGAATTTATAACTTGTCAAATTTCAGAGCAATAATGTAGTTCATGTTATATATTATGTAACACTTTCCAAGAGAATGAGTCAGCTCCCTGTAATCCTAGTATTTCCACAGTAAAATTTAAGACCATTAACACTAAATGAATAGGATAAAATTAGCCTTAAAGTCAGCACAAATTCAGGTCAAGTTTTTCTCCCAAATTATTTTAGGCTGGGTCAGAGAGATGGCTTGGTGGGTTAAAGAAAGGCACTTGCCACCAAGCCTGACAACCTGAGTTCAATCCCCAGGATTAACATATGATGGAAGAAGAGAACTACAGGTTGTCCTCTGACCCGCACATGCATACCATGACCCATGTTCCTTGACAGAAACATAAATGCAAAAAAAAAAAAAAAAAATTAAGGTGGAAAGAACAGATTCTGAAGTTAATGTTCTCTTCTCTCTCTCCATATATATCATGAAAGAGTTAATGTTGATTAAACCAAGAGATTTGAATTAAGATTTAGGGGCTGGAGAGATGACTCAGCTCTTGAAGAGGACCCAGGTTCAATTCCTAGCACCCATGTGGTGGCTAACAACCATCTGTAACTCCATTCCCAAGGGATCAAACGCCTTCTTCTGACCTCAGAAGGCAGTGCCTGACATGGGCACTCTTACATACATGCATACTCATATACATGAGAATATTTTAAAGGATATTTATCTTTTATTATTGTTTTCTTTAAAAGAAGAAACTTGCAGACAGACATGGTAGTAGCACATGCCTTTAAACCCAGCACTCGAGGTAGAAGCAGGCAGATCTGAGAGTTCAAGGCTAGCTTAGCCTGGTCTACAAATGGGAGTTCCCAGTCAAGCTACACAGCCTTTTTTAAAAAAAAAAAAAAAAAAAAAAAAAAAAAGATGAAGCACTTCTTCACCTTACAACTACAACTACTCTTTTTTTTTTTGGTCTTGTCTTTTTGAGACAGGGTCTCCTTGTACCCCAGCTGCCTTGAACTCAAGAGATTCACCTGCCTCTGCCTTCCAAATGCTGGGATTAAAGGCATGCACCACCATGCTGGGCCCTGGTTTGTTTTTTTTTTTAAGGCATAGTTTATTGAGTATACTGCAAGAGAGCTTGCCAATTAGGCAAGCCTGACCGGCAGTAAGCACTAAGGACTTTCATCTCCACCCCTAGCTGTGGGATTACAGGTATGCATCATCATACCCAGGTCCTCATGGTTACACAGCAAACACTTTACTCATTGAGCCATCTCCCCTGCCCTATAGAATAAATTAAAAACTACTCAAATCTGACCATTAAATTGAACAATTCAAATTTAAACAAGTTAATGGGGAATTACGTTTTGTACAGTAGCTAAATTCTAATACTCTGTACACAGATCAAGTTATCAAAAACTGAGGCTAGAGAGATGGTTCAGCAGTTAAGAGCACTAAAATGTAATCAAAAACTGGCCTTGACTATCTCCTGATGTGACATGCTGGGAGACATGGGCATTGTCTTTCAGAAAAGTCCCCTAAAGTTTTCCACCAGCTGAATAATGAGAAGCCAGCTTATGAAAAAAAGAACTCTTCCAAAAATAATAATAATGCCTGGCAAGATGCTCCTAACTAGGAAAGCTAAAACTTCTTTTATATTCATGCTTTCATATACAGCTTTACTGAGTGGAATATTCCTTTAAAAAGTCTTCAAAGATGGGTAAAAATGGCTGTGGGAAAAGGTGCTGACTGCCAAATCTGAGGACCCTGGGAGTCACATAGGGGAAAAAGAACCTACCTCTGTAGTTCAGCCTGATCCCCACAAGCTCACTGTGATATATATGCCCTTGTAAACACACCCCAACACAAACAGCAAATAAAATGTTTTTTAATGTCTTTGGTGCTGGGGACCGCTAACTGAATAGCACAGCACATGTTTAGAATGTAGGAAGCCCTCGGTTCAAGCTCCAATACCAAAAAAGGGTTTTTAACTTTTTTTGACCAAGCCAATGTATGAACCTACTAAATAAATGGCTGAACATGGTAAACTATATCCTAAAGCCAAAACTGCTCTCCAAATTATATTAAAATCTGTATTAGTAAAAATTTTTAGGGTTGTAGTTTGTGTTGAGGCAAAGACACACACACACACACACACACACACACACACACACACACACGGAATAAGAATATGTCCTCGTGCATATGTATATGGGGGGGGAATATGTCCTAAGAATGTGGGTGCCCAAGGAGGCAACAACAGGATGTTGGACCCCTGGAGCTGAAGTTGTACAGGTGGTTGTATGCTGTCTAATGTGGGTGATGGGATCCCAACTCTGGTCCTCTGCAAGAGCAGCAAAGTTCTCTTAACCACTAAGCCATTTCTCCAGCCCCCTAGCACAATGTCTTAATACACTATAATACTATTTATTATTCATTCAAGATAAAGTTTTAAGTGTTCCCATTTCTGATAAACAGCACATACAATCTTATCATTAAAATCTATAACCTATAACTATATAATCTCTGTAACTTGAAAAGGTTTTAAGAGTCACTGTGCTTGAAGAGGTACAAATTCCAAATTTTGAAAATCATTAAAGTAATATTTCAATTTTGTTACAAGTTCATCAGATGTGAAGATACTTACATGGACAAGTTAGGAGATGGAACCCCCCTATCATCAGCTAGGTTCCCAAGGTGGCTCAGCGTTGAAGTCGAACTGCTCTCTATACAGCACTTCTCCTAGGCCTTCTGGGTAGTTGTATACTCGGTCAGAAAGTTCGCCCTAAAGAAATGAAAGTAGATAGTGCTACATTTAGAAATCAGGTTGTGTTGTTTCAAACAGGTTGACTTAAACATGACCTATAAATTAAGTTTTAATTTAATAGTGTGTTCTGTTAAAGTGACATTACAACCAGACATGGTAATACATGTTTGTAATCCCAACACTCAGGAGGCTAAGGTAGGAGGATTGCTTTGAGTTCAAGACCAGCTTGGGTTAGATATTTTGATCCTGTCTCAAACAAACAAAACTAAAAATATTTTAAATGCATAATGTTTTAGGACAATCTAATATTCAGAAACTACATGGAGCATCTTTTAGATTAAGTTCAAATTATTCTCTGCTTAAAGTACAAATTCCTACTACAATACTAAAAGGTTTTATGACTTAAGCTATACATGGTGGTGCATACCTGTGATCCCAGCACTTAGGAAGGCAGAAAGCAACCAAGGAAAAACCCTTATATTGAGAAAGTAAGGTTTTTTTTTTTATACCTAACCTATCTATGCCTACTTCATTCTATTATCATTAGAAGAAATTAATGTAAAGCTTGGCACACTTCAGAGAGTGCTGAATTAGTTTTAGTAATGTCCACAGAAGCCAGAAGAGGGCATCAGATTTCCTGAAACTAGAGTTACAGATGGCTGTTAGCTATCATGTGAGTGCTGGGAACTGAACCCAGGTCCTCTGGCAGAGCAGCCATGAGCAATCTATCCAGTCCCAAGGGGTTACTGTTTTAGAGCAGTTCAGCCTGATAGTATTTTCTAGGAAAAGGGTAATAAGGATACCAGAAACACTAAAGCAAAAATTATATACAAGTTCAAAAGGTTGCACGATTTCAGAATACTCTATACATTCCTAAAGCCTGTCTTACCTCCAATCAGGATTCAAGGCAACTTGGAATAAAGTAAAAATGTTCCACCTAGTAAAAAACACTGACAACTTTTTTTTTTTTGTCTTTTTGAGACAGGTCTCCTTGTAGCCCCAGCTGTCCTGGAACTCACTATGTAGACCAGGCTGGCCTTGAACTCACAAAGATCTGCCTGCTCCTGCCTCCCAAGTGCTGGGATTAAAGGCATGTGCCACGACACCCAGCCAAAAACATTGACCACTTTTAAAGATTAAAGACATTCATGTTTGCTGAGGGAAAGAACCCACATCCAATTGTGTGGTGGCTCATGCCTGTAATCCCTAGTACTTAGGCAGTAAAGGCAGGAAGATCAGGAGTTCAGCATCAGCCTGGGCTACATAGCAAATTGGAAGCCAGTTAGGCTACATGAGATGCTGTCTCAAAACAACTTCTAATGATGATCATGACCTTAGATTCCAAATAAGATACTAATCTATAAACTTTTTTTTGGCAGTGCTGGGAATCAAACCTATGACCATGTGCATACAAAGGCACTAACCTATATGTACGCATGTGCATACATATCCCCAGCTCCCTAACCTCCTGAGTGCTGGGATTAAAGATGAGCACCACCAAGCATGGTTAGACCAGTCCTTTTAGGCCTAAGCAGACACATAATTTTTTTTTCTTCAAATACCTAATCTTAAACTAAAAGCCTAACCATGCTGGAAAGCAGTTCATCCTCAACTATCCTAAGGAATGGGATAATTATCCTGGCTGATTTATTATTCATCTTTCCCCTGCTTTTTAATTCACATTTTTTTTTTGACACAGGGTCTCCCCTATAGCCCCGCGTGGCCTAGAACTTGCTCTGTAGACCAAGCTGGCCCCTATTTCAGAGAGCCACCTGTTTCTGCCTGTGTCCAGAGTGCTAGAATTAAAGGTATATCCTACCATGCCCAGCTTATTCATAGTTATTTTGCTGCTACAGCAACCCAAGACCAGTGCTTTCTAGACACTGAAGAATACTCTTTAGGCCAGGCACAGTGGTGCACTGCTTTAAATCATAGCACTGGGGAGGCAGAGAGAGGCAGGTGGATCTCTGAGTCCCAGGTCAACCTGATCTACATATCAAGTTCCAGGTGGGCCAGGGACACATAGTGAAACCCTGTCTCAAAAACAAAAAGCAAAGAACAAAAACAACAACTTTAAACCATTCCCATTTAACAGATACTCCTAGGGAATTAAGGCTCTCAAAGGCACTTTCTAAGGAATACTTTTAAAAGTAAGGTAAGATGTGCATTTACATACAAGATAAACACAATGTTTATCTAGAAAGAGAAAACATAAAGGCAAGTGATGTAGACAAAAGGCAGACTGGAAAAAGATAAATTACTCTCTATTTAGAATGCTTTGTATAAATGGGATGGCCCTAGAACTCTATGTAGCCAAAGATGATACTGAACTTTCTGACCCTCTGGTCTCCAACCTCCCAATTGTGAGGATTGCAGGTATGTACCACTTCACCAGTTCATGTGGTGTTGGGAGCTCAAACTCTGGGTTTTGTGAATGCTAGGCAAGCATTCTACCAACTGAGCTTCAAAACCAGCTCCACCTTGTTTTTTAAAAAAACACTTATTTTTTAAATTGTGTGTATCCATGTGTTCACACTGGAGCTATAGTTACAGGCAAGTGTAACCTGCCAGATGTGGGTGCTGGGAACAGAACCTGGGTCTTCTGTAGGAGTAATACCTGCCCTCTGAGCCATCTCTCCAGCCTCAGTTGTCCCAGTTGGCACTACTCAAATTTTTTTCAAAATCATTTTTTTTTTGCATTCTTTACCAAATATTACTATTATCTTGGCAACTTTTCTAAAAAGTTTTTGTTAGGTATTCACATAATGGACCACTACACAGTCTAGCCTATTTATTGATATTAAAGAAAGCATACTAAATTAAAGTCTTTTGCACAAAACAATGTGTGATCAACTCATTCCATTTATGTGTTAAATTCTTTGATTTTTAAAAAAGAGGCCTCTGTTCAGGGAACTTTGTGAGATATTAGCAGTGTTCTATATCTTGAAAGAGATTTAGATTCCAAAGTTGTATCTACTTTGGAGGCAGGATTTTGCTACTATGTAGCCAAGATTGGCTTCAAACAATCTTCCAGGGTTCTGGAATTACAGGTGCATGCACTGTATCCTTTGTTAAAACTCATCATATGGAAGTGGGCCACTCACACCTGTAATTTCAGCACATGGGAGACTAGGGTAGGAAGTAAATCAGCAATTGGAGGTCAAAGGTAGCTACAAAGTGAAACTGTTAAAAAACAATAATAACCAAAAAAACCCTCATCGAAAAGAGCAAGAATCTTACTGACTTTTTTTTTTTTTTTTTTTTGGTCTTTTTTCAGACAGGGTCTCCCTGTAGCCCCAACTGGGGGCCTGGAACTTGCTACATTGACCAGGCTGGCCTGGAACTCACAGAGATCTGCCAGCTTCTGCCTCCCAAGTGCTGGGAGTGCTGGGATTAAAGGGTGTGTACCACTATGCCTGGCGACTTTTTTTTTTTAATTGCAGAGTATGGAACTGTACTTAATGATGTGTACAAGCTAAACTTGGAGGTATCAAGTTTCTGGTGTCTGACAAAGAACAACAAGATACTATAAGGTAAGGCAAAAAGTTAGCTGCAGTGTCTAAGTTGGAGGTACCACTTTCACATTTTTAGGTTCGTTATCATGTAATAAAACCTCCGGTGAGAAAGAACTGATTACTTTCACTTACCTCTGAATCATCTACGATCACTTTAAACACAATCTTTCCTACTTGATGTTAACTCCTGGGGCAAGGCGAGAACCTGCACACTCGCCTAGGTGTCACACTAAGAAATTAGGGGCCTTCCAAAAAATCGTCAGACCTACATATGCCAGGCTAATTTTCAGTCCACAGCAAACTTTTCCTGAACACTCAGCAAGGAAAAGAGTTCCTTTTAGTCTTCAAATTCTCACGCTGGCTGGAGATTCAATGGTCAAACTCGACAGGTCACGGAACAACTTAACAGAGCCACCAACATCACCCAATAACGAGTTCCCTCTGGTTGAACACCCTGAGGCTGTAAACGGTGCAGGGACCATTTTTTGCTTCCTGGCCAGAAAACAGGCGCTCAGGGTTTCCAACACGTCACGCTACCAGTAACTGCTGGCAGCCAAGATGGTACTTGATAAGCCCCGTCCACCTACCCTTCTCCCTCGTTCTGCCCGGTGATCGCACCCAGGACCAGAAAACCAAACCTTTGGTGACTAATCCACAGGCTTTAGGAGGTGACTGGGGTGAGTGAAGGCGACTTGGCCCAATCAGGAGAGCCGCAGGGGCGGAGCGGCAGCACCGAGGCTTCCAGAAGGGGCCAAAGGCCTACCCGCTCGCTACTTGACACCGGGGTTTCCCCGCCGTCGAGCCCCGAATGAGGTCAACCTTCCTCCGCCAGAGGGGGACCGCGCTCCCCGCACCCCTCCCCTCAAGAATACGGCCTCCTCCCAGCTGTCAGCAGACACCGGCTCGAGGCCCGCCCCGCTCCATTCATAACCCGCGACCGGGCCGCCGCAGTCCATCGCGCAGCCTATCCAGCCGGCACCGCCGCCCAAGGCCTGGACACAGCGCCAGCCCGGCCGGCGGGACCCTCGACCCCTCAGGGCTGCGGCCGGGCCCCCTCCCCGGAAACAGCAATGCACCACGGGAGCGGGGTGGGGGCCGCAAGGCACCAGGAGGGGACGGCGACCCCCACGGGCCAGCCCCCCGAGCGCGCCCCCGCGCGTACACGCCCCCTCGCCTCGGCCGCCGGCCACCTCAGTCAGGGTCGCGAGGCGCGGCCAGCCCGGACCACCGACAGCCGCCACACACGCCGCCGGCCGCCATGTTCGAGGCCGCCGGCTGCGGGGCACTGCGGGGACAGCGAGGGCGGCGTGGTCCCCGCCGAGGCGCCCCGACCACCCCGCGCCCAGCCCCTCCCGCTACCCTCCGCCCGATACTCACGTGAGATAACGGCCCAAAGAGTCGGGTAAAGCGTCTTCTCTTTTTCGGCGGAATTTTTAAAGAGGGATGTGGTTACCTTGAGCAGAAATACCCAAGGCGGCCTGGGCCATAGGCTGCGGGGACGACGTGAGGGAAAGAGCGCGGCACCGACACCAGCTGAACAGCAGTGGCGGCGGCTGCCGAACAGGAGAAATGGAGCGGCGCAAGTAAAAGGAGAAAGGCGCGGGCTACGTGAGGAGAGGATTCAGCCTCGTCACACCGCAGAGAAGCAGAGCAAGAAGGGTGAGAAGAGGCAGAGAACGCGACGACCGACAGGGAGAAAAGGAAACACCGCAGCCGACAGACGAGCCAGAGTGTGGGAAGGCGGCGCCGGCGCCGCCAGTATTTATACAGAGGGGGCGTGGCCTGTCAACGTCACAGCCGGTCAGGCAGCGGCGCGAGTAGGGCGGGGCCAGCTGCCTCCAGGGGATCAGGGAGGGGCGGAAGAGGAAGGAGGGCGGTGCAGGGGGGCCGAGGGGAGGGGACGGTCGGGCTGGCAGGTGCTGGCCCGCCGCTGGCTTCCCGCCCTCTGGCCTCCCGGGGCTCCCCGTCGGCTTGACGGATGCGTGGGCGGGGCAGAGGCTGGCGATCGGGCTGTAGCGAGCCCCCCCCCCCATTCCCACCTCTGCGGCGCCTGCGCTCTACGCTGTTAGCGAACCCGGCGCTTTGTGAGCTGGGTCCACGTTGACCGCGGAGGTCCGAACCGTCCTGGGTCTCGGGCACCGCGACACCTGTTATGCAGGGGAGGTTGGTGGGCGCCACCGGGGGCGTTTCTCAGTGCTGCTGACTCGACTTGGTGAGAACTGTGGACTACGCCCGGGACTGCCCCCCCCCCCCACACACACACAGGTTCGGCCCCGGCGTCCTGCTCTCCTTTATGGCAGGGAATTCCTCGTGGCCAGGAAGGACTGGGGTGGTGTGGTTACAGAGGCTTTTGATCGCGCCAGAAGGTTCCTTCACGTTCGTATGGTGCAGTAGGGATTTTTTTTTTTTTTTTTTTAAGGACCTTGGCTTTTTTCTGTCTTTTGGTCTTTTTGAGACAGGGTCTCTCTCTCTCTAGCTCCAGCTGTTCTGGAACTCACCATGTAGACCAGGCTGGCCTTGAATTCACAGAGATCCGCCTGGCTCTGCCTCCTCAGAGCTCTAGGTCTTCATTTTCTAAAACGGTTGCTGCAGTCAGACTCCGTCCAATTTAAGGCAGGACCTGTGTTTGAGAGATTGCTGGTGTTACAATGTTAGAGACATACATGATTTTAATCACCCATATTTTCCCTTTCGTGTTCATTTTAATTTTTCTGTTGCTTAATAAAGTTGCTAGCGGATCTAAAATGAAATAGCATACGTAGCTTTTTAATTCTCATTCTCTCTCTCTCTCTCTCTCTCTCTCTCTCTCCCCCCCCCCTCCTCTTTTTGAGACAGGGTTTCCCTGTAGCTCAGCTGGCCTGAAACTCACAGAAACCTGCCTGCCGGTACCTCCCAAGTGCTGGAATTAAAGGCGTGCATTGTACCTCCTAAATGCTGGAATTAAAGGCGAGCACTACCACGCCTGTCTAATTTTTTCTCTTTTTTTTTTTTTTTTTTTTTTTTTTTTTTTTGTCTTTTTGAGACAGGGTCTCCCCGTAGCCCCAGCTGTCCTGGAACTCACTATGTAGACCAGGCTGGCCTTGAACTCACAGAGATCCACCTGCTTTTGCCTCCCAAGTGCTGGGATTAAAGGCGTGCACTACCACACCCGGGTTTTTATCATTTTTTTAAAAGCCCAGCGATCAGATACTTGGTCTTGCCTTTCTAAAGCTTGCAACTCAGACTCAGCAAAAATGGGAGTGGGATGGGCAGATAGGGCATTACTATGTAGCTCAGGCTAGCTATGAAATTCATTATTCTACCTCCGCTTCACAAATGCTGGGATTACAGGCTGTGTCTGAGTTAAGAAAGGCTGGGTGTGGGGGCACACACCTTTAATCCCAGCACTCAGGAAGTAGAGGCAGGCGGATCTCTGGGAGTTTGAGGCCAGCCTGGTCTCCATAGAGAATCCAGGCCAGCTGGGGCTACAGGGAAACCCTGTCTCAAAAAGACCAAAAAAAAAAAAAGAAATCCTCCAAGGTTAAGATCCTTGAAATTAAGACCCTGACTTTTCTTTTTGCCGTCTTTCATTCTTCCCTTACATTTTCCCTGTAAGCAGCACTGTGATTAATAAATCATCAAAGTGGAGAGGAAGAGAGCCTTAAGTGGGAGAGCAGGAGATCTTGCGAGGCCAGAATGTCTCAGAGGCAGAGTATTAGGTAGAAATTAGGAACTGTAGACTCAAGTCCTAATTTTATTTTTCCAAATTTTTCACTGACATGTCTTAGATGACTTAGTTTTCTCCCCATCCCCCCTTTTTTTCTTCTTTTTTTGTCTATCTTTAGACAAGGTATGTAGTCCATACTGGCTTTGAATTCATGGCAGTCCTGCCTTGGCCCCTGGAGGGCTGTAATTTGTGTGCCATCATGCCCAGCCTCTCCCATTTCTTAAAAGTTCTAACCTATTCAGAACACAGCATCTTCACTAGACACCCTACAACCACCCCCCCACCCAGACTCCTCTACACCGGTCCCACAAAAAGGAAAGTTAGAGGTGAACACCCCACTTGAACAAATCTTGCTTACAGTCTAGCAGGGGAAATAAAACGTATAGAAAACATATAAATGCTGCAAGGAACTTAGAAAAAGGAAGAAATAACCAGCTGAGAGAAAGGCTGCCAGGCAACAGTTGAGAATGAATTTGAGTGCTTTTGTTCCAGAAAAGGGAAACAGGTGATTTTGAAAGCCAGTGTTCCAGCAAAGGAAACATGAAAGAAAGCACAGAAATGAATGGGTTAGGGAACTGTGAGTGGGCTTTCTACCTCACACCAGTGACAAAGTTGCAAAGGAGACTGAAAAGTTAGCGTTAGGGTGAGAGGCCAAGAAGGGATTGTAGGTGCCAGAGCTATGGCTCAGTGGTTAAGAGCACTAGCGTTCTTGCAGTGGACTCAGGTTCAGATCCCAGAACCCACATGGCAGCTAACACCCCATCCTTAACACCAGTTCCAGGATCCACCTCCCTCTTCCTGTCTACATGTGCATCGCACACATATGGCAGACTTACATACATGCAGGCAAAACACTCATACATGTAAAATGAAAATAAAAAGAAGGGATTGGAATTTGGGCTTCATTCTAAAAGCATTAGCCAGGGACATAATGGAGTATCATACCAATAGTGCCATGTAGCCTATAATGAACGTATAACCATGATTTACTGTTTTTGGTTGCTTCATGGTCTCACTATGTAACCCAGACTGGGCCCAGACTCCTAGTCCTGCCTCAGCATCTCTACTGCTGGGATTACAGGCATACACCACCACATCCAGGTAAAGAGATGGTTTGAAAGTTTATTCAGTGGATTGCAAAGAGGTAGGTTTGGCAGAATCTTGAAGTTTAAAAAATTACTAAGAAGTGGAATACGTTAATGCACACCTGTAATCCTAGCATTGGGAAAGCAAAAGCAGGAGGCAGGTTCAAGGCCAGCCAGGTCTGCATAGTGAGTTCCAAGCTAGCCAGGGCTACACAGTAAGACTGTCTCAAAACAACAGTGACAACAATAAGGACAACAACAAATTAAAAAAACAGGTATAGTAGTATATGCCTGTAACCCTAGAACTTGGAAGACAAAGGCAGGAGAACTGCCATAAGTTTGAAATTAGTTCTAGGTCAGCCTGGATGGCAGGATAAGAATCCTGTCACAAAGGAAACAAATCCAAATCTAGGTAGTTCCCTGGAAATGGAGTGATCTAGAGCCCTTCTGGTGTGGGTTTGGGAGCCTTTTCTATAGATGTGATAATTGAGGAACTGTTCCAGTATACAGGAAACAGAAGATAATAAGCACAATACTTAGAGAAATGCCAGGGAAAGGGGACATGGGCAGAAAGGACCAGGAGGACTGGCTGAAGAAGTAGAGAATTAAAATTGTGCAGTAAAAACCCATTAAGCAGGTATTTGTTGCCAGATGGAATGTATTAGCATATCACTCAAAAGGATGAAAAAACAGGTTCTGGTGTCAGCAAGTGGAAAATTGTTGGTAAACTATTGTTCAGACTTTATCATATAGGCATTGGGAAAGGCGATCCATAGGAGTTATTCCCATTTTAGAAAAGATGCTGGCCAGGGCTGGAGAGATGGCTCAGTGGTTAGGAGCACTGGCTGCTCTTGCAGAGGACCTGGGTTCGATTCCCAGTACCCACATGGTGGCTGTCTGTAACTCCAGTTCCAGGGGATCTGACACTGTCTTCTGACCTCTGAGGGCCTTGTACAACACAGGTGAATTTACATACAAACAGGCAATACACTCACACATAAAATTAAAAAAATAAAATATTTTGAAAAAGAAGTCAGGCATGGTGGAGCACATCTTTAATCTCAGTACTCAGGAGGCAGAGGCGAGTGGATCTCTGTGAATTCAGGGTCAGCCTGGTCTACATAGTGAGTTCTAGGTCAGCTGGAGCTACTGAGAGACCCTGTATCAAAAAAAAAAAAAAAAAAAAGGGACAAAAAAGGATTATCAATTCTAGTCATTGATGAAGAAAGGGGTCTGAGAAGTTAAAATTTCATTTTAACTTCATTACACAATCTCAGTGGAGTATAAGGGCAGGAGGGTGCAGAGATTCTAGTGGGGAGCTTCTGAAGTGGAGTCAGGAATGTTGACTTCTCCTGGGGTACAAGGTACTAGACTGGAGCCTAATCCAACATTCTTGCACCATAAAGGATTCAGCAACTTTCATTAAAACCATGTAGCCATGTAATGAGTACCTGTGTACTCAAATGGAAAGAATAATACTATCTTTTAATGAATACAATAGAACCTTGAAAACTGCACTACATCAGAACAGACAACACAGTACATAACTAACAGAATGATAACTATTTGATGAGAACAGCATATTAATAGTGTTTGAGGTTTGGGGTTTGGGTTATTTTGCCAAGTCAGGTTACTCATACACAGATACACAGGTAGTGCCAGTGAAAATATTAAATAGCTGGAGATAAAATCCTATAATTATATTCACACTTACATCACCCTGGTCCATTGAGTCAGACCTAGTTGCTTTTGTGCCAATAGATTAAAAAAAAAAATTGAGTTAACTGATAGAGGTAAGTCACTCAAAAATAATAGGTTGGCCTAAAACCATCAGTGTCTAATAGAGATCTCATGGAATCATATACATAAATGTGACCAATAGTAATTGAAATTAAAGAAATCCCAGATAGAGCTAATCTTAATCCAATTGGAATCTTAAACCCCAATGAAGTAGTATTAGTCTGTGTGGCT